TGATATTGATAGGTGTTTTATTGTTTTAGTTTTTGTATGATTTTAACGTATTCTGGAGCTATATAGCCCGTTTGGTGCTGATGCTCCTTAATACATTTCATTTCATTATCCTCAGTATAGCAAAACAACGTCAATTTGTCCAATGACTCCAAAAGTGCATTGTTAAGCACAACGGTTTGAACTACATGAAAGGCTGTAGGTGAAGGTTTCAACCATTTCTCTTTCTTTTGTTCTGTTTTTGTTAGTTGTTGTGCTCAAGAGTGGAACAGGCTGTTAGAGCCCCATTCGTGAACATTAGCACTATGGTGTATCATCGACGTTCATTTCTCCTTTAGCAATTCCATATTCCCTTCACAGTAGCAACACTCCACCAAAAATGGTTTTTAATGAAGCTGATCCAATGCCGCAGAACTTCACGATCCTTGGTGGACTTTGCCTTCCCTGACAGCTTCTTGATTTGGAGACATGCCAGACTTCGAACTGGTGAGTTGCTGAGGAAACTCCTTTCTCATCATGCACCCAAGTTGAATATGCGTATCAGTCGCAAGAACATCATCCAAAAGATTGTCATCGACTCTCGAAGAGATGGATTATAAGTTATACTCAGACTATGTTAACGCGGCACAGTTGCTGACAAAGCGGAATCAGTGGAGCCAGTGTTTTTAGACGTCTAATGTTGACTGACCAGATCTACTTCGCAATTCATTACAGGATGATTACCGAAACCACAGCGGGTGCACTCATGTGCAAACTTGCAGGTGGCCCAGTCACAGCCCTGGGGAGAATTAAAGACAAAACATTTGTTTCTTGTTGGTTGACGATTACGAGATATACCAGACACTTGACCAAATGTTTTTCTAGGTTTTGAAGCAGCCTTGGATGCCTGATACATAGTTACAGCTTGTAGCCATAGCTCTGGATGCATATGATGCCATGGCAACCCTTTGGATTGGTGCAATCTCCTAAAGTAAGTATCATAAAACGTAAAAGAAGCGTTACCATAACCCCGTGACAAATCGGCAATCAGATTGGCATAGACCAACATTGGGCCAAATGACAAATTTGTTTGATCAAATATCTTGACGGATCTTGTCACAGGAACAGTTTGCGTTGCAGTCCTTGTTGAGTCAATTTTTGAATCAAAATATCTGTGAGGCGATCCTCAGCCGTAGTAGGCGTTATTTCAGGGTGGTGAAGTACCGAACTCTATTCTTCCGGACTGGGGGATCTGGCTCTTTTAGACATTCTAAAAAGAACAATATAACCTGAAACCCTATCATTAGTAAGATTGAAAGTCTGAACCACGAAACTATGACACATCTTGACAGGAATATTGCATCCAAGGAACCATATAGCAATACTGAAAAGTAGTCCTAAATGGCAGATTACCAGAAAAAACACTGTGTACATTTTACTACTAAGCATCTTAAATTACCCAAATGAGATGCACCCGTAAACAGACGAAATTGAATCCAGATGGAAATTTAAGATGGAAAACCATGTTTTCCACACAATTGCACTAAACAAGCACTGGAGAGTGAAAAAACCCCAAGTTTTCCACACAAACCCGAATTATAAACACAGTGTCAACAATAGAAACGGTCATGACCATCTACCACCGTGCATGGTTTTTGCGAACTGAAACACGAAAGACGTGACCATTCCGAGTATAGTACACACAGTATCATTTACCTGCTTATTCCACTCGTAGCCGAGATGAACAAACAAACAATTTTATAACCGCACAATGAACCAGATAATAAATTCGCTTGAGACAAATTTTACAAACTTTTGATTTCATGTACGGAATGTGCATGACAAAATGTGCTTTTTGTGATAAAAAGGTACCCGCACCAAATCGGCCACCTCAATAAATTTGGACACCGTAAGCTGACAACACCACACATCATGAACACGGTGTCAACCAAGTGAACACCACCGAAAAGAAAAGGCGCACCACCTAGGGATTGCACCACAATTACAAATCAATAAGAAACATCTTAGACTATGTATAATCCAGAACTAAAGCTGGATGGTGCTGTCATTCCTGTTGTGCGGGAATTTAAATTTTTGGGACTCACTTTTGATAGCAAGCTTTCTTTTCGTCCCCATATTAAAGTCCTCAAGAACAAATGTCGGAAAGCTCTCAACGTACTGAGAGTCTTATCCAATACTGACTGGGGAGCCGACCGAAAGGTCCTACTCCGATTCTATCGAGCTTTGGTTCGTTCCAAGCTCGATTATGGGTGTCAGGTGTATGGTTCAGCTCATCCATCCTATACCAAAGAGCTTGATACCATACATCACGAAGGACTTAGAATCAGTTTAGGTGCGTTTCGCACTACTCCAGTTGAAAGTCTGTACGTCGAGGCTAATGAGCCCTCATTGTACGACAGACGTGACAGGCTTTCATTGCAGTACGCTATCAAGATAGCATCATTGCCACAACATCCTGCTTACTGTCCCGTATTTAGACCTTACTTTGAACACCTGTATGAGGCAAAGCCTCGTGCTGTTTCTTCTTTTGGAGTCCGCATTCAACCCCTTATGTCAGCGGCTGGTATAAGCCACGACAGTATTGCGGACTTTGCCATGACCACTATTTCACCTTGGTCAATTGCTCCACTCCAAATAGACTTTAGTCTATCGAGCAACAGGAAGTCACAGACAAGCTCTGTTGTCTTCAAGTCTAAGTTTCTTGAACTAAGATCTAAATATGGGGATTTTGCTCCTTTCTATACAGATGGGTCTAAGGATGGTGATAAGGTAGCAGCCGCTACAGGTACACCATCCGAAGTTCTATCTGTAGCTCTTCCACCAGCAGCCTCAATATTTACTGCAGACCTCATTGCCATTTACAGGCACTTGAGTTTTTTCAGTCCTTTACATCATTAAAAAAATGTATTATATTTTCTGATTCTGTGTTCTCATTACAAGCTATTAATAACATCCAGCTTGTACACCCAATAATCGGGGATATAAACAAGCTCTCTGGGCCGAAAAAGGACATTGTCCTTTGTTGGCTCCCCAGTCACATGGATATACGGGGGAATGACATGGCAGATGCGGCGGCTAAGGCTGCTTTGTCACTGCCTGTTTCCCCCTTTTCTTTGCCTTTCACCGATTTTAAATCGGTGATAAGGTCTTTTATTCAACACCGATGGCAGCAAAGATGGGATGCTGCAGACACTAACAAGCTTCATGCCATTAAGCCTCTCCTAGGAGACTGGCCCTCCTCCTATTGTGCCAACAGGAGAAATGAAGTTGTTTTGTGTCGATCTCGTCTTGGACATACTCACCTCACCAACTGTTATTTGCTCAAGCGAGAGCCTCAACCAGTCTGTGAGCACTGCCAGATCCGCCTGACAGTGAAACACATTCTGATTGAGTGTAAGCATCTCAAACCTATAAGTAAATGGTTCCGAATTGACGAACCAATCCGCTATCAATAATCTAGTAACAAGAATTTGTTTCAATCTTAAATACTTGACATGGGATTTTTTATGTCAAGGACCGATTGAGGATGTTGAATGAATCAGATTTATTGTATCATTCCGTGTCATATTTTGGGCATAACTTGATAGTCCGGAAAGCAGAGAGGAAGTTTTTTCTAAATTTAGATAAAACAATTGAATAATAAGTAATAAAATACCAGTAAGTGTATAAAGGAAGAAAATAACAATAGTTAATACAGCTATCAGCGAGAGTGACAAGCCCGTGATGATGAATCTCTATTTGGCTTTTTTGATTATGTTTTGTATTACTGCAGGTAAGTGATAATGTTATAAAAAATGTAAATTACAATGTTCATCAATTTCAGTTCTCTGATTTTTTCCCATATTTATATCAGATATAGAAACACTATAGTCTGTGAGTCTATGCATTCCATTATTTTATTTACCATTTTCTGTTATACTACTGTGATATTGTTTTTATTACTGTTTATATCACCACTTTATGGTGTTTTTCTGTGATATTTTTTTAATTTCGTGCATCCTTTTTAGTTATAATTTAATTTGTGTTTTCATTTTTATCGTATTCAGGTGCTATATAGCCTGTTTTGGTGCTGATGTACCTTAATACATTTCATTTTCATTATTTTATTTTCATTATTTTATTTTCATTTTATATGTAGTAAAGTGCCGCTTTTCGTGTGATTGTTACAAACGTAAGATTCTGATAGATAATCCGGGCATTACTGAAATACGCACAACTGTGTGGGTTAATAATATGTATTATTTTCATTCAGGTTGTAGACATGAGTACATGTTCAAAATGTACTGGATATCACATAAGGCGCGTAACCGTCTGGAAGGTTACCAAACTTAACTCAAATAAGAATATTTTTTCGTAATAAAAAAAAAGTTAAAAAGTTTGCATTTAGAATAAAATTGCTGTAAATTATGTTTGTGGTTTCAAACTTTATGCAGACAGATTTATACCTTGTTCTGGGAGGGAGAATTATCAATGTGAATCAATTCAACTGTGGTAATTTCCGATGGTCGAAAATGATGCATAAATGTATATCAAGGCGTATTGGTCGTATATGCTTAATAGATTTCAAAAGCATGTGAAAATCAAATTATTAACAGTCCTGGTAATGGGGTTCTAAGACCTACGTTGCTGCACCTGAAAATGTTGGCATTCAATCTAAGTCGTTAGAGTTATTCCAAAATCCTGTCAACTCCCTGTCTTGCAACTTTATCGCATTAGCATTTAATACATTAGCATATCTTTCGTATTTTTCAGGCAGTTCGGGTCAGCGTCATGATCAAGCCAAATTTGTTGATGGAGGTAGATTAGCTGAACGCAAGCTGCAACGACCTCATTCCACTGAACCAATATCGTACAATATTCAATCAGACCAGCATGTCCCGAAAAAGAAAATATCTAAGGCTAAGCACAAGCAATTCCTTCAAGGTCTGCTCAAGGCAGAGAATAAGTTAAAAAGTAACTTGAAGGAAATTGCAAAACAACGTAGTTATGTACAGAGGAGAATACAACGAGAACAGAAGAGACTAGTTAAACTCCAAATTAAACAGAAACGTGTAATAAAAACGACTCCAGAATTACACACACTTGAGGAAAAAGACCGGAAGCTTATTGCGCGTGAAAAGCGTCTCCTGGGTAAAATAAAGGGTGTGCAAAAGAAAATTTGTCCAGGTAATAATTATTTAATTTGTACGAAGACCCGTACAGATTATCTTTATTTATTAATTTGAATAACCTAAAAAGAGAAAATTCAAACCGAAAATTAAGCATGCGCCGTTACCTGAGAGTTCGCTATTTATTATCCGATATGTATGATTTTGTCTCAAAACCTTGTTACATTCTCTAAAATTGATGGCAGCAGAATTTTGAATTTCGAATTTAAATTTTGTTTATTTCCGTTCGAATTTTTTTTAATATTTAAAAGTCTATTTCTCATGACCTTGACATTAAATAACCTTGAAATTTCCAGTTTTGAATGTCCTTGACCTCAGCTATCTAACTATATGCTGATATTTAATTCTAATTATCAATTTCCGGATTTATAGCTCATAGAAAATTGACACTTTCCTTGGATAGTTATGCCACATTCTCTGATAAACACGGGGCTTGGTTTTTTTCCAGATTACTAATGGCCTTAACATTTTCTTGAAGAAACATTACAATAATGCATGAACAATTTTTTCATAATTAGGATGTACTCAATTTTCTCTCTCTAAAGATATGTGACATGGGTGGTTTGCTATAATAATTCAATTTGGATAAATTTTTAAATAAATCTAAATTTTCTGGTTGTATCTCTGAATAAAATAATTCTTAGTGTGTTTCTACAGGAAAGTATCTTTTATAAAACTAAATTAGCAGATGGGTGGACTTAAAATGCATAGTTGAAAACAAAGACACTTTTAAAGTGTGGTAGTAGTGAGGCGCATTAGATTGTAGTGATATATAGTTGCCATTCCGCGGCTTTCAGATGGTGCTGATGCTCCTTAATGCATTTCATTTCATTTCATTTGTCTTTCAGACTGTGTCATCACAACAACGCGAACAAAATCGATGCCAACTGATAGAACTGTTGTCACGACACCATTTTCTCCTCCAAGAGAGAAGACGAAATCGGGTGCATTCCCAGTACCAACAAAACCATCGAACCTAATCACTACCGAAAAGACAATAAGAACAAGAAAACCCTCTAACAAATTGAGAAGGCCCAAAGTAAGGGCTAAAGGACGCACAAGTAAAACTACCAGTAAAGGAAAACCGAGTACTCTTCCAGCAACCTCTGTCAAAACAGTTCAACTGACGACCATTATGCCTAAAAAGGTTACATCGCCGTTAATACTTCAAACGTCAGGACGCAGTTTTACCACTAGCAAAACCACAATCACATCAACACCTTTGATCGAAGGGAAAGCGAACCCGTTCATGAACACTCGTACCATGACTACATGGGGCATGTTACCAACTACATCAAGAATTCCATTAGTTGTTTCAACTGATATTGAACCGATCTCAACCATAAGAACTTCCATGCTATGGAAATATATATCAAGTCCCACCCCATTACCAGTAGCTGTTACAACTGACAATGAACCGACCTCAACCATAAGAACCTCCATCCTATGGAAATATTTATCAAGTCCCACCCCATTATCAGTAGCTGTTTCAACTGACATTGAACCGATCTCAACCTTAAGAACTTCCATGCTATGGAAATATTTATCAAGTCCCACCCCATTATCAGTAGCTGTTTCAACTGACATTGAAGCGGTCTCGACTAAGAGAACTTTGGAGCCATTGACATATAAGTTTAGTTCCTCTCTACCAACAACAGAAAATAATTTTGAAACTGATGTTGAAACAAGGGCCTATGACAGAATGATCAGAGTTCATACTTCCGGAGATGACACTCACACCACGACCGACAACATGCCGACTTCAACTGCAATGGCAACCACTGATTTCATCACCGACCAAATTGTAACTACAAAATCAGGCCGTAGAGAATACCCTGCAACCACATCAACACCAGTTTCTAGATCAAAAGCTAAGAATTTAGCTACGAGTCCTTTACCACCACCTGTTCCCGTCTTTACAACAAAAAGAATGATCAGTTCAAGAGTGAAGACAACAAGAACACCAACTTTAAAACCAGCCCAATACACACCAACCACCGGAAGTAGTCACACCGAATCCCTAGAAGTTAAAGCTGTGAATAATATCAGTAATAAAAGGGGCCAGTCAGTGTCCAGTGTCGTGAATTCTCCTAGAAAAACTGGTAAGATACGTGAATATTTAGGCATTCTTTCTTTGGATCAGTTGGATCGTCCGGGCTTTTCTTTGTATCATCCTATTAACGTCCTACTTTTCTGCACCGTGTAGGCTAATGAAGACGGGCAACGCCATGGAGGGTGCAATGAGAGACATTTTGTCTGGCCAGTTACATGAGACTTCTCTTTTTCGGTTTCCAACTGTCGAGGGATCTTTAACGTGCATAGCCTGCAGCAGACGGGATCTCGGTTTATTATCCCATCCGAATGACGAGACGCTTTTTCCATGTCAGTTCCTCTTACCTGCATCACTGACAGCGGGAAACCGGGTTGAAAATCCGAAGGTATTATCTCGACCTATGCCAGGATTGAACCCTGCACCTTCAGGTTAGAGAGCAAGCGTCTAACTCACTGAGCCAGGATGAATTTTGGATAATAAAGTTTTACATCCGGTGCTTTTCATTGCAGAAAAGGAAGTAGTGGTGCTGTATGTTAGTGTAGCAGTATCGGCTGTTTTTGTGATCATTTTGATTACCAGTACAGTTTTGTACTTCACGCTGTTTCAAGGGTAAATATCCATACATATCTCACAGGATTAGTGTAACAAGGGTTAATGACGAAAGCACAATGGTTTTGGGTCTGTCGATGGCATTTGAGAGTCCAAATTTCAGCGAATTACTTCGAGAGCCTCGACTGAGACAAAATCCCACAAATTCATACAGTTATAAATACACGTTGATATTTACGAACAGCCTCACATGTTGTTAATCGTTAATTTTATTCTTTTAAAAAAATGATGGCAACTTGTCTTGTTCGTGAGTGGTTTGGACCCGTGGGTATTGATTTGAATAAAATATTTTAGATTTATGATTCCCTTTTAAAGTCGGACAACGATGACCCGGCACCTTTGCGTTTTATGTTTATGCACGTCAGAATATATGTATAGCGATTGCTTGCACGATGATCCATTGTTTGTTATGCATATTTTATTCTCATTTCACATAATAATGATGTTTGCTTGGGGTTTTTTTTACAGTCGATGTGGTATTAAAAAAAAGGATGAAGAAATTTCCATAGATTCGAAATATCAGGAGGAATAACAACCATTGACTTAAGCCTTGACTAGCTAGTAGTCAAGGCTCAATCTCTTATTTTCACGTTCAGTTCGATTTCAGCGGATTTTTATACTGGTATATATAAATGATATTTATTATTTTCAAAGCGTGTTAATAAACTTAATTGTATTTGTTATTTAGACTCCACAATTTCAACTTGAGTAAGGAAAGGGGACATATGCAAACCTAGCCAGAAAGCTGCATTACTGGTATATATCTGTATCTGTATATTTTGCCATAATAGTTATTAGGATCAAGGATGGGGTGTGTCTACATTGTGATAATAGCTACAATAAAAGTAATGACGGTTTGTCGACATAGTCATTATAGCTATCAGAGAAACAGGATGAGAGCATGTCGACATTGCTATAAAGTCTATATAACTAATTTGCATTATCCTTTTAACTACAAAATGTGAAAATCTTCTTTATCCTGATATTGTAATGTCGACAAACACTCATTTTCTTTTCCTAACAGCTGTTATAACAATATCGACATTTCGATAGCTAATACAACGAAATGCATAAGTGAATGTCGACATATTCGAATAAAGGAACATTGACAAAATAGCTATCAGGATAAAGGTAATGAGTATGTTGGCATTGCCATAATGAGTATTAAGATAAACGGAGTCCGTGTATGTCGACATTGCCATAGTAGCTATCAGCATAAAGGGAATCGGTGTATGTCGACATTACGATAGTAGCTATCAGCATAAAGGGAATCGGTGTATGTCGACATTACGATAGTAGCTATCAGCATAAAGGGAATCGGTGTATGTCGACATTACGATAGTAGCTATCAGAGTAAAGGGAATCGGTGTATGTCGACATTACGATAGTAGCTATCAGCGTAAAGGGAATCGGTGTATGTCGACATTACGATAGTAGCTATCAGCGTAAAGGGAATCGGTGTATGTCGACACTACGATAGTAGCTATCAGCATAAAGGGAATTGGTGTATGTCGACATTACGATAGTAGCTATCAGCATAAAGGGAATCGGTGTATGTCGACATTACGATAGTAGCTATCAGCATAAAGGGAATCGGTGTATGTCGACATTGCCATAGTAGCTATCAGCATAAAGGGAATCGGTGTATGTCGACATTGCCATAGTAGCTATCAGCATAAAGGGAATCGGTGTATGTCGACATTACCATAGTAGCTATCAGCATAAAGGGAATCGGTGTATGTCGACATTACCATAGTAGCTATCAGCATAAAGGGAATCGGTGTATGTCGACATTGCCATAGTAGCTATCAGCATAAAGGGAATCGGTGTATGTCGACATTACCATAGTAGCTATCAGCTATAAAAGTTATTAGGTTAAAATGGTGAGGACGTTACAATAAAAGCTATTAGGGTAAAGGGAATGAGAGTGTGTCAACATTGCTATAACGATTATTGGCAGTGACAGAGGGAATGAATGAATGAATGCAATAATAGCTATTTAGAGATTGCGTGTTTGTCGACATTACGATAATAGCTGTAAGAATAAAGGATAAAGGATAAGATGTCAACCTTTCCTCTATTGGGGAAAAAATGGAAGGTATTTCGAAATAGCCATCAGGATAAAACAAACAACTAGATTCTGCATAGCAAGCCACACCACTGCAATGCCATAAAGCTACCATGACTGGCAGTAATAAGGGACAAAAGTACTATGAATCGTTAGGTGTAGGCCACAGAAGTGTCAAGATGATACTACACCAGAAAATTGAAACTGGGGGCCCCACTCCGTATGGTGGTCCCACTCCGTATCATGGTAAAACGAAAACATAAGACAACACAAGCATCTCAGCACTAATATGATTGTTTTTATTTGTTGATATAAAAACACTATTTTACATTATTACAATAACATTATGAGGAAATTTAACAAATGGTTTTATCTTACATTATTATAATCTCCACAGTTACAGGATTTATACATTATATATTGTTAATTCATTAACCACATTACATTATAATGGATCGGTATATTTTTACATCACATTTCACAAAATTTCATTGTTGCAGATGCAGACGAGACTTTTTATTTTTGAATTGTTTCTGGAGACTTGTTTGATAGGTCTTATCAGAATTCGTTCTGAAATCAGTTCATAAATTCATTCAGGAAAACCACACATTACTTCCACATGCTGTAACGTAACCACATGTGGTATTGTCCATCACAAACTATATCACTACCTAATGTTTGTACAGCTCAAAACACATTTACACCAGTTTCTGAGTTAATAAGCCACTATTCAGATTAAAAATAATTTAACAATTTTATACACCAACAAGTTAATATAAATATTATCCAGATCTGGTCGAGAACTGGGGAGAGGGTGGGTTCCTTTCTCAGAGCCCCCAGCAGTTTATTGCTTTATAAACACACACGTTGGCTTTACAGCCTCTTCTCGAACTATCTATCTATTGAATTCAAATTGTAGTAAATTCTATTTAAGATATGAAGCCACTGACTTCTCTTGAAGCCAGTGTTTCTGCTACACAACTATTCAAAAGACCTCAATAAGGCTGATATCAACTAGCTGGTATGTAACACAGATTCTTATGCATAGTACATAGGAGGGAAGTTTGAAATGCATTATAAATTGTTAACAAATTAAATAGATTCCTTGTTTTAAACCTTTCATAATTCATAAAATACGAAAATAACTAGTTTAAGAACTTTGTTCTCAACTAGCTGAAAAATACATGAATATAATGAAAGGTTTTCAAGGATAGGATGAAAGCATCTTCCTACATACTACATCACTGGAGCAATTGAAATTTAAATGTAAAATTTTCCGATGTGATGAAGAGATGATTGGATTAGGGGCAGGGGAGTTTGCATTTGTAGATTCATTTAGAAATCTAGTTTACACTAGTTTCTATAATAGCAGTAACAGTGAAACTACAAATGAAGCAAACAGGGTTAATTATTATTAACATGGGGTCACCCTCAGTCTGGAATCTTCGCTGTCGTGAAGAAACCTCGAGGGTGATGAGAAAGTGAGAAAGAGAGAAATAGAAGGAAATAAATAGGACAAAGAATGAATAAATAGTTTTGATTATAACATTGTGGGTTTTAAAAATGGCAGGATTCTGAGATCAGATTGTATGTCTAGGCTGACTTTCAGCCAATCAGCACATCTTATTTATTGTCTCTTCACCAATCAAATCAGCTGTTATGTTTCACTTTCACAGATTTGTGTTCATGTCATTAACGAAACCATTTAATTTAGTTCAGACATATTGTTCCGTTTCTCAACACAGACCGTGATTGGACAAGATTTTCAAACTCTGACCAATCAAATCTCTGGAGACTGGAATACTCTACTTCCTGTCAAAGAGAAATAACTCTCATTCAATTCCAATGGGAATTTCACACGATGTTCACTTGGTTTTCTTTCCACTGAGGAAAAACCAGGTCAATTTCTTGGATTGACTAATGTTGGACAAGTTGGAGTCTTGTCTCCGTGGAGTCCGAGGTAATGTTGCCATCGCGGAAGCACTCAGAAAATTGTCTTTGTTTGATGGAATTTTAAAACTAGCACTTCTCTTGGTCAGTTTTCTTTTACCTGAAAAATATCAAAAATAAAAACTTATATTATGATAATCTTGACTGCATTTTCTGAAATTTTGTTGTTGGGCAAACCTACACAAAAAAATATCTTATTGATTATACAAGTGGAAGTGGTATCAGGATGTTCCAAAAGCTAGAACAGACCCTGCCTCACTAGACCAATTAGATTTATTGTAATGAAGCAAGAGTATTTTCACAAGAGAACTTAAAGCCAATAGGTTTAAGACTGGTATATTTAGAATGTACTCCAAGTGATATAAACCACTTATTAAACACATTGATGACATAAGAAAATCAAAAGTAACAACACTACAAATAAAATTTCTAAACTACTACAATCTAAACTTTTTATATTTGCAACATTAATTGTATTTTTTGAAACAGGTATCGAAAGTTTCTATTTAATTTGATCTGTTTTGAAAGTTTATCTGTATTTCTATATTGTTGAGCAATATTACATATACTAGCTGTATTGGGTTACGTTAAATCATGCTGTAAGCTGTTGACAAGTTTTAATACATCAAGCTTTTGTTATGCTCTTTTTGATTTTGCTAGTTTGTTCACAAATAAAGTTACACTAAACAAGGCATCTGTGAAACTATATTTTAGCACAAAGAAGTTTATTAATTTTTTCATTTTTATGCTTTACATCAGCGAAGTTTCCGATGAATTCAGACTGTTCCTTTCCTCGTGGGAAAGGTTGCAGGAAATGATGTGTATACACGGTGGCAATCAGCACATGAGACCATCAGGTTGATTTAAATACAAGGAGCTTTAATCCCTATGCCAGTAAAATTCGTATATTTATAAGGACCAGTCCAATAATGATATGAGGATATACAAGGAATATATAAATTACGTGCTTTCAAATAAAAAAAAATATGGGTGGTTCAAAAATCGAGCAATTAAACAAAATATAATGACACTGACATAACTAAGCAGCAAAACAAAAAATATGGGTTAAAACTGAAAATATAGGGTTGTCATGGTAACACACAATTTGTACCTGAATGTATTATCTCTTTGACAACCAGAGTAAAAATCCTGAAATAACAGCATTTATACAATTTATTATAACGTAATAAGATATTTATTTAATAACTGTATTTTTCTCTGTCTAAAGCTGGAACACTGGAAATATCCTCATGAAATTTTTGTGAAACTGGTAACAGGATTGAAAAATACAAATGAGGAGAGAGAGATTATATTTTCACCAGTTTACAACAAATTATAATATTAAGGTCCAATATTTACCTTTTGATCTATGTAAGTTTGTTTTCTGTTTGACATTATGGATGGCTGTTTGTCTAATATGTTCTGGGATGTTAAAATCTAAAATCAAACAAAAGAAAATCATAAATGAAATACACAGTTTATCATTTCATCTGAATGACTGGACATTCTTTCGTTGTTGGCCATCTAGACCTCCAGGTTATGGACCAACTGTCAGCCCCAAAGAATATCTTATTCGGCACAAAAATCTGGACTTGACCTTTTAAACTTATATCAAGATAATTTGGCAAGACGTACAAAGTGGATATGCTATTTTTCTATCAATTAGCCCAATGTTAAGCATGCTAATATAGAATTCTAAAGCAGAAATAGGTAGTCTAGAGTGAAATCTTCAAGTATAAAACGGTCCTAATTCTAAGTGAGAACACTTCCAAATTTTATTTTACTCAAGCCAACTCACTGTTTTCCTGGTCGTCTTTCACTCTCTGTCGTTCATCTTGGAAGGCTTTTAACCATCGTTGTTTTACACTGTCTGATTTAGCCACCAGGAGGTACCACTTGTCACGTTGTGTGTTGTGGACTTTCCATGCGTGACGAACAGTTACGTTATATTGAGTGTCTTTACCATCTTCAAGGGGGATAATTTCACAATGATCTAAATTTACACGTCCCTTGTAACAGAAACTGTTCTTTTTTAGTATATCCTGGAAAAATTAAAATAATTATGGTTAAATTAAAATATTCAACTAGGGTTAGATATCTCCCTTTGATAGCAACTTTATTGGAAATCTTAATTAATAAATGGAGATATTTAACTAGGGTTAGATATCTCAGTCACTTTGATAGCAAATTTAGTGGAAATCTTAATTAATGGAGATATTTAACTATGATGTAAATATGAAATATACTCAACACCATATATATCATAGTATGAATAAGCTCTATAATGATGTAAAAAATCAACAAGGCTATTTTTTTATATTTTGTGATATCTTTGGATATAATATATAAATATTGGAAAAATTGCAAATAAAGCCTAATATTCATACCAACTATATTAACCTGGATTCCTTCATTAAATTTCAAAGACTGATATCATGTATTAATCTTAAGAAGATATGAACTTACCTTTTTACAGTAAACCAACTGATGATCAAAGAGAAAGAAATAACGTTCCTGAGACCAGCCACTAGAGTTGATTTTATGGAGTTCACCAGAATATATTAATTCCGAGCTAACGTCTAATAGATCATCTCCCTGTAATCAAATATAAACTTGGATTAGAAAAACTTTCAGATTATCATCAGATGGTCGCTTCACTAGACCTCTAGTCAGGTCTGGTATTATTCTCTAATAGATTAGTCTTCTATGGTTCCTTCAAAGCACTGTGCAATATTTTCACAGGTGGAAACCCAGTGTCTTGATATACAGATGAAATGGATACGTTCTAGTATTTGTTAATAATTTTTGGAATGGAATATATGTATTTTAATGGTGTTCAACAAGGGGTTCCCATGCCAATCAGCATCTGACCTTTGATAATTGAACTCTACATACCTCCCAAGTATCAACTGACATCTGCCATGTAGCAATTTTCTCTATACTCTCCATCTTACGTTTACGTTCGTTGATCAGGGTGGCTATTTTCTTCATGGCCTCTAGCGCCCCCTTGACGTGAGGGTAGTCAGGATGGTCTATTGGGGTATACTTCAATAATTCAGCCAACTGCAGGTGATATTTACAGATCTTCTGGACTGGTGTTAACAGAAAACCTTCTAGTGGAATTTCAATCATATCCTGCAGAAGTCTACAAGCCTGGAAGTAACAATTTAAACATTGATTGATATTATCAGAAGCCTTAGAACCATCTGTTTCTATTTTCAATGGCCCTTAAATGACAGGAATGGCAAACTAAGCAAACTTGGGCATCTTTAATGATGCCCAATAGACAGTCTGTTTTACTTGATATGTTTGATATTGATAAGAAAATCAATTCGTTACATATACGTACAAAACAATGTGCCTACTGTCCAAGAGCTTAAAATCTAGCAAGATTGGGTAATATTCAATGAATTATTTGGTAAGTACCAAGTCAGGTAGGAAACAATGTGATACTTGTTCAATGATGCAATTGATAAGTAAATAGTTGATGCAAGAAGAAAACCTTTTGAATGATGCCCAAAAGGCAAACTGTTTTACTATTTATAATTTAATCTGACATTGAAGGGTAATTCAATTTATCAATGTTCTGTAAGAATCAGTTTGACAAGACAAAACACTGTATTAGATGTCCAATGCCTTGTATTGATGTAGGTAACAGTTTAAGGAGACTAACAATAACTAATGAAGTTTGAAGTAGGATTATGCAAGATGACATGTTCAATGACTTGTATCTTGTCTAGACCAACCCTTAGTCAACGATGCTTTAAATCATCTCACTCATTAATTTGTAATTTGCTTGTTTCAAACATAAAATTTCTTAAAATAAAATGTTTAAAAGTGAATTGTAGTGTGAGATTCCAAGTATTATTTGGATTAAATAATCTGAAGATTAGATAAGCCAGGTTATATCTAAGTTGTGACACTGAAATATGTATCAGTTTTCAGGAGAATTAAACCTAAAGCATATATTGAAAATAAATTTTGTAGAATGATAGAATGAAAGCTGATATCAATAATAAAGCATTGGGATTAAGTAATCTGCAGACAGGAGTTAAGAGAAGATAAACCAGGTTTAATCTTGATTGAGCTGTGACACTGACATAAAGAGCTTGTAGGTAAACTACTATCAGTGAGTCGGAGCTTACAGTCAGATGTCAGCTGTCATGTCATATGACATATTATTATAATCACAGGTATTACTTGTCACTGTGTCAATTACAAATCAATTTAAGAAGATATTTGTGTTTTCAGCAACTCTTACTTTCTTCACACACTTTTATAAGAAAAGATTTTCAAAAGTTAATCTTGAATTCCCTAAATATTCACTCTCAAAAATTCTTTTCTCCAAGAATCACAAGGGAGATAAATGTGTTAATTTTATCAACACACAAAAAAAGTCTTTATACTAATTCAGTCTTAGCATTTAGTTAATAGAATGGTGCACATAAGAAGTAGAAACTTACCTCGAAGAAATGTCTGTATCGTTTATTTCTATATAAATCTTTTAATTCATCACAGGCTGAGGGGTGATTATTACAATAGTCAGAATAGATCTCAAATCTTTTACTCTGAATTAAATAATAAATATTCAACACCATTAGGCTTACTAATATGATATAACATCGACAATCAAAACAATTTCTAGTGACCTTATCTAATTTATGTTTGAGGGATATATCATAGTCCATCTCTATTGATGATGACGTATGTGATTCCTCAGTTATGATTGTATTTATGAAAAATACAGATCTATCATCAACATTCTGATTCTCATTTCTAGCAAAAACATGTATTTTTAAAAGTTTTAAGCCTCAATGACTTACAGTGTTATAATAAATGTTTTTGTGTAACATCGTAACATGACACCTTAAAGCATTCATAATAACATAATCAACTTACATTATCTTGAAAAGTAGAGCCGATTTCACTCAGATGTGGGGAAGTTGTATTAATCTTAGATTCTAGCTGACAGAGAAATTTACTAGCGAAGGTATAGATCTCTTCTATATTCCCAAACATTGTCTCTATCTTCTCTTCAGGAAACATCTCTGGTCGTTTTCTAGCCTGTTTCACATAACCCTGGAATTATAGACATGTACATTATTATAGCAAGATGTCATTTCTTGTTTACAATGTGTGAAAGCTGAACTTGACACTAGGCCAACTCTTGGCATCCGAATTTGTAAAACTATAATTCAAAGCTCATAAGCTTAAAATTAGGTAGCCAAACATCCAGGTTTATACAAATATATACGAATTCTTATAAGAATATAATTACTTGTAGTGTACCATAAATTCTAATTTCAAATATAAATCTTGGGATGTATTAACTATACAGGGCTGAACAAAACTTGACAAACTTCTACTCACCTCCACAACATCTTTTAAATGTTTAGAATATTCTCGTTCAGCATTGATTATCTCATTGACAACATTAGCTCTAGCCTGGTTTTTATCGATATAGCTCACACCATGATGGCGTATTTTTGGCACGTTTTCTGTTTCTTCTTGTATCAACATTGTTAACTCTTCCTCTACTTCTGCCTGATTCACTCGTAACTGTAGTAGAAAATATAATAATATAGCATGTATACAATCTGATACAAATGGTCAGCAAAATTGTTTTGTATGGTGAACAGAGCACCAAAATATTATCAGTATATCCATTGAAACATGTAAGGCAAAATCTAAATTAACGAGTTGACATTAAACAATATGGAAAAATATAACATAAAAAATCACCTTTAAACTATCTTGTTGAATTACTTTAATTTTTCCCATTTTCACTTACAGACTGTTACAGATCTATCCAGAATACTTCAATAAAATACACAAAATATCCTTATTAATCTAAAACATAACTTTCACTAGCACTAGTAGATCTACAAACCAACACACTTAGACACACAACTGATAATACAATTTGAAAGTTCAGAATATATAAACCAAACTTAATGCCTAAAATAACAGAGTAATCAAATTGGCTGATCTGAGTTGCTGGGAAAGACACAAGTTAAAATGGTAATAAAAACACTGTCGTGTGAGGAATTTTGAAGGTAAGGTCTGATAGGTGTAAGGTTTTAAATAAACATTGCTAATTAATTTGATTTATTACACCTTGATTAATTGTCAATATTTTCTCTTAATATCAGACTTTTAAATCAAACCACATCATTAAAATATTGAATTCTAAAAATTCTTAATTCTCAAGATAAAAATTCAAATTTTGAATAAATTTTTTAATAGTTTTCATCAGAAATAGTAATTTTCAAATAAAATTTTGATTAAAGAAACAAATTTAAGCTTTTTTTTTCATATTGCACAAGAAATGTTTTTTTCATATGATTAATTTATTTTGAATATCTTACCAAATGGAAAATATATCCAAAACACAAAATTGCTAATCCAAGACCAAAACCACCAGAGTCATAAGACACAAATGAATCTCAACACTGTAGCTGGTGATAAAAATATCCAGAGGACACAACACCTCACAGGAAGGTAGCAAGCTGAGATAAAAGGCCCTAAATCCCCTAATTTCCTAAAGCTCCCTCAAGTTATCCCACCCTGAGACAATTCTTCAATAACCTAACTTCAACATCACACTTTATATAACCCTTTCTTCCCAGGTGACAAGAGCAACTCAGTTTCTACCAAACATCTTAAGAAAAAGGTGCCAAACACATAAGGCGGCCATTTTGAAATTCAATATGGCAGATGTTGACATCATACCTTGAAAGATATTCCTCGAGAAATTTTCAAAAATTAGTTGACATCATTCCATATTAACTGGCAGGTTTTAATTATTGACTCCTTTCACTTAATCCAAATTTCATCCCAACTTTTCACAAACGACACATCTCCCTGGATTAACTCATCATCACCTACAACACCTTCCAACTGTGATTTTAACCATCAAACATTTTGATTTTCCTACCTTGGATCAATCTAACCAATCACAAACCACCATTCATTAAACTGACCAATCAGAGTAACATTAACAATAGACATTGATTAAGAATTACTGGACATGCTTGACCAATTATAAACAATATCTTATGTAGGTATATTGAAGAAGAAGTTTACATCTTTCAATAGTTTAAAAATTGGGTCAAGATGATATCTTAACACCATATCACTTCCCCATTGGGTTTTTCAAGTCCTCCATTGTCCCTAGATTATAGATTAGACAATAAGGTCTATTGTTATCAGTTGAAGGGGATTTTCTCTGCCTACAATCTTTTATCTAAGATAAGTATAACATGTCTACTGAAGGTTACGCCAATAAAATCGAAGAACAAAGACTAAGGAAGGTGTTCATTTATTAACACTTTGATATCAAAGAATTTCTTTTTGAAAATGTAACTTAAATAACAGAAAAGGTTCTAAAAGGAACATGGTATGTGATAAGTGGTTTGTGTTCAACATGTACCATTTCTATTAGCACATTATTCTTTGATGTTTTGAAAATTTACTGTATAAGGAGGAATTTTTATGTAATAGAAATTTTTTCTCATTTAATTGGCTAATTCATCAGTCACAGATTGATTAAATTTTATTGCTTGACCATTTTGAAAGCCATATATAACAGAGAATTGATTCTGAATTGGTCCATTTCGCAATTCAGAAAATGAAACTAAAACTATGTCTAATTGTCTCACTTATTTACATATTTCATTACACTTATTTTACTATAATATAATATAGACTTGCTGTTGCACAAATTCAAATATTCTTTATCCTAAAAAATTGTAAATTATTTTGTATATAGATACGCTCGAAACAGACTAATATAAGCATTATGCTTGTCTCTGGATCGACTATTGTGTATTCATGTATTGTATTTTCTTCTTTATATTTTGTACTTTGTACAGAAATAAATATTGTTTAAACTATACTGAGAAATTATAAGCTTCTGTTTGTTTCTGAAACCATGGCTTATATATATATATGTAATGTATTATTTGTAATTCATGAATAAATAAAAATTGTTTAAAAAAAAAAAAGAAAAAAAAATACGGACAAGTTTTCAAAGTTTTGAATAGTAAAATGATATGCTTTTTCTTCATTCATATTATAGAATTTCTATTTAATGCCTGGAATTTACTTTGCCAGTAGAGTAAAGACAATCTTATGAGTAAAAGAAATCTGCCTTTATGGGCAAAATTTGGGAAATAAAACTTGGAATCATCCTGGGCACTATTTATTAAAATCTGATCTGATCTGACTATAGTTGTGTCCAGTTATTAATTAGGATAACTAAATGTTTCTTTTTTCAATTGCAATAATATATACTTTCTAAAATACTCAACTTCCCTGGAGGCATAAACTTCAATTACATACAGACAGTCAGCCCTAGGGGTGGGGATGTCAATAAATTAAACTAAATTATTTCATGTGTGTGTTTTTAAAACTGCATGTAGGTGGGGAACAAATAAAATAAAGGAGCAAAAATGCCTCAGGGTAATTTCTACCAAATTAAACAAAATTATTTTTTTGAATGTGCTTTTTTAATGTTTGTGGGCAGACAAATTAGGCACTTCCCTGATCAAAGGAATTAAATTTCAATTACAAGAATACTACTTCAAAGACCTAATGTGTTTTAATTGGATTTTTATAAGGTAAACTAATTGTTTTAAACTATTATCTGTGACCTAATTAACCTCTAATGCAATTAACCAATTGGAGCTAATTTTCCAGTAAATGATTGTTAAGTCTCTAACAATGATCTACAGTCAATGTTTATTTATTTTTCTAATTTATGGCTCCTAGATGGGATGTACAAATCCCTAAATAAGCCTCTGAAATTCCTAAATCTTTAAAATGTATTCAGGAAGGATAACTCCTACAAATAACATAAATTATGAGATACAAGCATTGTTGTTGAGTTTTACGACTAGACACTGTAAATATATTACATCACATTTTTTATATAACCCAATTCTTGGAGCTTTTTTTCTTTACAAGGGGGATAATGTCTACAATTGGTCAACAACATCAATGACTAGATACTTCAAAGTAATCTCTGCAAATTAAGAGACTTTTTGAATGATGAAAAGAAAGAAATTTCTTACAAACTACATAAACTCCTAGAAGATGATATGAATTCACCAAATTACGACTAACAACAAAACATTAATAGAATCTTGTTTAACTTAACTCGACAGCATACAAATTTTGCCTTACATGTTTTAATGGATGTACTGATAACCCACAAGAAGATTATATCCCATTCAGTATGGTCTTCTGAAAAGAAAGATGTTCCTAATAAAGTTGGTAACTGTGCCCACAGAATGGTACGTACCCTGACAAAAGTGGCAGGGAACCAGCCCTGTCTGTCATCTATCATACCAAACCACCAATCTTTATCCACCAGGTCTGTTACTCGGATCAAATCACCAGCACGGAATCCCATCTCATCTGTATCCATGGTAACATGATCCCATAATGCTTCAGCAAAGATCAGATTTTCTTCTTCGATGAACTGAAAGAAAGTAAAATTTAATGGTATATTGTAAAAAGATTTTAAAAAACTCACATCTTTCACATGGTTAATAACGAAGATTCACAAGGATCCTTTCTATCTATGTCTGGTATTCCACACTGCTGTCAAATATTCGGTAAATGCAAAAATAGGCAAACAATTGACAAGTTTCTACATTCAGGTCATTGTCTGGAACTTTATTCTAGAATAAATCTGTCAGAATTGGGTCTTTTAAAACCAGAAACAAAGAAAGTTTCTAATATATCATGTTAAACTTACCTCCTCTAGCGTGGCTAATGTAATTTGAGAACCACGATTACTCCGCGATGATTTATCTTGATGATTAAAATCAACGGAGATTTCTGATTCGTCACTGGAATCACAGTCACCACCTACTTGGCTGTAAATACTCGAGGTATCACCACCTAAAAATATATATAATAATGATAGAGTCTACAGTTGTCCATCTGAAGGGGGGTGCTGATTCAGAAGCTTTATATATATATGTATATCTAGCATCAGAAAGAGGTAATGACATTTACTGTACAACAGTTGTAAACCCTTGCAGGCTGTCAACTGCATTAAATTTCAACACACTGAACGCATGGTTAAAATAATTGAGCTCAAACAGGGTTAGAGTAAACATGTCAACAATCACATCAGAAAAACTGCATGATTTTTACAGGAAAATTGAACAAATTAGAAAAATGATGCATTGGAATAATATAAAAGTTTGAATATTGAAGTAAATACAAGGACAAAAATTATAATTAAATGTTTATTTCACATTGGTTTAATTAGTTTCTTCATGAAATCTGCCAGTCTTCAATAACCAATTAAATAGAATAATTTATCAGCTATAACTCACCAATTAAACTGAGGAAATTTCGACGTCGATGTAACTGGTCTAAACTTTCTGGCATACTGTGAGATCGCACCAACTCATTGCGATTGTGAGATTTTGTGGATTTCTTATTGGCTCGAGATTTGATAGGATGAGGTGTGGACATCTGAAATAAAATTAAACATGTTAATAATAACTATATTCAAACCAACGATCACTAAATCTCTGTAAATCTATTATATACAGCGTTACAACATTATTAAAAGTCATTATATGTCATAGCAACTGTTTTACACTACAGATCCTTTATATTTCATATTTATATTGCTTTCCTCCATAACTGTTTCAATATTATGAATCAGACCATCTTAACCTAATTGAACACTCCTGTAAATACGAGGACAGAATGACTTAACCAGAATATATACTTGACTGATTCAACTTTGAAAATAAGTTTTGGGCACTAAAATTTGACTTTCCACCAAAAGATCTTGAATCAAAATCAGAGAACAGTGGTTGATTGATCACAATGAAAAATTCAACAAACATCCATAAAAACCACAATTCAGAAGATGAAATACAGAAAGTGTCATAAGTACAATAGTAAAGGATCACTAGCAGGAAAATTACCAAACTTTATATAAACTAAGAGTTGCGAAAGCAAAATAATCCTATCCATGTGTTTTATCCTTCTGGGCTCAAAAATCGAAATTATTGGAATTTACAGAACTAAAAACCTTCAACGTACACAATTAACAGACTACAATGCATCATGTTTCGAGACACAGACATCAAATACACAACATTCACACGCCATGGTTCAAGACAGAGCTACAGTATTTACTTGTTGATTTACCAGATTAAAATTTGTAGAATTTCAACGACATGACATTGTCAAACTTCTCTTGTTGATTTCACAATGTAGTGTCACAATTTTAAAGGAGAAATTTAACTTTTGACCTTTTGAAATCTTCATATATTGACATGTTCATTTAAAAGTCAAAAATATAAATTTTTACCTACATGTTAACTGAAGGAATGAAAAAACTAAAGTTAAATCTTGAAAGATGTTATTATATTTATAGTTTTATCCACTTTTTTTGAATTTTGAAGCTATTTATAACAACATTATCTCTATATTTCATAGACAATACAGAGTGTCCTCAAATAAATAAAGACTTGTGATATATTCATATATTATTTCTCCATTAATTGACTCAGAAACATACTCATACAAACTATAATAATGCAATAATGGAAATAGTCAAATGTATACAGCAGAAAACTGTCAAAATAACCAGAATCATAACAACACTGGCCCTGCCATAAGACATATTCCTACCCCCTGGAGAATTTACCTTATTAATATCCGATTGTATACAAACTATCTCACTATTCCAGTGCCTTAAGATAGAAATAAATGTAAGCAAAATTTCAACATACCATTCGATTTGCTCTTGGAGCAGTTAATTCATTCTTTGAATTGCATGATAAAAAGTTTTTAATAAATGCTGGAACTGAAAAGACCTCCATGGTAATCATTGACAGTTAGTTTTCAAAGATATTATCCTTTTAGGAGTTCTAATATCATAATCCAATACTTTGACAAAATACTTGACATTGTGTTAAATCCAGATTACAAAGAAAACAGTTAGAATTGGGTTAAGACAGAGAAAGTGAGAAGAAATCAGTAACACTTTTTTTGATTTTTTCTCAATCACCTTTCATTGTAGAGGACAAGTTCATTTTCTCACCTAGGTAAGAAAGTAGCACAAATTTACTCAAAATGTCGAAAAAATAGATACACAACAATTTAATTGGAATACAAATTGGAGATTTAATGACCAAAACAATTCATTAAATGTTTACAAAGTGGTTCTGAAAAGGGAGCAAAAATATAACAAAAATTGGAGCCTGTGTCCCCTGGCCTATAGAATGGTACAAGTCTAAACCTAAAACAATGAGTCAGTATAGTGAAGATCTGGCCAGGGATTGAAATATTGACACAGAACAAAGACACAGGTAAATAACAACAGACTTTTCACATCTCACAAACTAAAAACTTCCACAACAACAAAAGCATTTCAAATCCTTTATTTCCGATACAAGAAAACTTCTTCTTCCCTACTGTACTTCTCGGTTGATATAAATCTCACAGACTGTTCCCAACCCCAGTCCTTGTAAATACTGTCCTACCAAACCATGTTTCTCACAAATACTGATCCCCCCCGCCCACACTCAGCATTCACAGAAACATTTACCAGAGCAACAACCTTCCTGAACTTCTGGGCACATATATTAACCACTAACACTTCCCACAACACTCCTCACAGATACAGACCTACCGACACTCAACAGAAACATTCCCTAGGGCAACTCTTCTGTTCTTCTTGGAAGGTATACAACTTCCTTTCACTTCACAACCCCATTTCTTACAAACACTGCCCCACCCCACTTATCATCTACAGAAACACCCTGTAGAGCACCCTTAAGAGCCATCCTCCTGTTTTCTTAGAAGGCATACAACTTCCTACCACTTTCCCATTCTTTCTAAACACTGCCCCACCCCACCCTCAGCCTTCACACCATTGGACCCCTTCCGAACTGCAGGCACACAACTCACTAACCCTTCTTCATCCCACACTGCCCTACCAACACAGTCTTTACAATAATAATAACAATCATGTTTTTGATTTCTTTACTTTACAAACCAGTAGTATTTCCTTACATCTATTCATTTCTTGATTTTTAAATTTCATCAAAAACTATAAGGAACTGTGTGGGGTACATCCAAAACTAGTCTCAGACTTAACCTTTAATCCAGGGATTAACATGTTCTATCTAAATACTAACTATATTTGACAGTGAGAGTATAAAAATACTCCAGTCAACAGTCAAAAGTCACCAACTCAATAAACTTCATTTTCTGTGCCCCAAAGTCTTCAATTTTTCCACAATATCAGCACTACGTTGCTCTTACAATTTACAACTGTTAAGGGATCTTAAATTCATAGCCTGTATCAAACAAGTTCTCAAGTTTTGTCCAAGCAATCAACAAGAAACTTTTTTCATGTCAACCCCTTTGAAGCAGAATTAAAAACAATAGGCATCATCTCCACCTATGCCAGTATCCAATCTCTAAACCATTCAGCAAGTGCTAGAGATAAAATTTCTATTTAAACAGAGCATAACGAGCGATATTCTATTTTTAATAAGAAATTAACCCCCATAGTTTAAATTACAAAATAATAATATAACAATATAACATCATCCTGTCTTCAACTCACTACTTTTATATCTATATTCAAGTGGTTATTTCCTGTTTTATTTTATAGCCTTTTATAACTTCTATCTGTCTACTAGAGTTATATTTACCATTCATGTTCAAATAGAGTTTCAGAATGTCTGATGAGAGTATAACATTATTTATTTCCATATATTTCGTACATTTTGATATTTGACTTGTATTTTATCAGAGAAATTGAAAGATAGAATAAATGAAGTGAATTTCAGTGGCCTGAGACAATATTCTGTATTTTTGAATCAATCCTTCCAAAATCTGATAACAATGCTTAACAAACGCGCTCCAATATTTTGACTATAAAATTTCAAACCACCATATCCATCGCTGACATGGAGGCCAAACAATATGAAGGGGATTATGAACAATGAATTTATTTATTTTAATAGTAGCTAATGTTTATTTCCGGTTTATCTATTATCTCTATCTAATCTTATTTAATCTAGATCTGTTTAAAATGGCAAATTATCAAAATTCATACACTACTCTACTTCATATAAAATTCATCCAGCCTAAATATAACTTTAAAAAACCTTGTCAATCATTGTAATATTTAATTAAGGAAACAACCCTACATGTAGTCATAAAACTGAAACACGATGCCTTGTTTATCTTAAATTATAAAAAATATTTGCAAATGAAGTACCAATTTCCAGGAATCTGACAATATAAAAATAAAGTTATAAGAATACTCACTCTGCGATTTTTAACTTGTTTGATAGTTTTGGTACCATGTTCTTGTTGTTGGAGGCGTAGTTCCACCAGACTTCGTAAGGAATCACTCGGACGTAGGTTACCCATGCTACCTCCAAACGCTTTCATGTGGGACATAAAGACACTGCTGCCACCTGGAATTAC